GAAGCCTCATACAGAGGTGTTGTTGGGGTGGGAATGTGATTAAATGGTAGCGCACCACAGAGATGATCCAGTCCTGTCCTCTGTGGGTTTTAAATTGTCGTCAGCTGAATGGCAGAAAAATGTTAGGACAGTAAAAGAGCAGGGAAGGCGAAGGCAGCCTGTGGAGAGCGTCTGTGTGTCAGACCTCATCTGTCCTGTAGCTCTTCCACAGTGTGAGCCAGAGATAGGAGAACGCCCCTCCCTCCCTCCCTCCCTCTCTCCCTCCCTCCCTCTGTCCGTCCTTCCTTCTGCATGGCTTCATCTCTGCGTTCCTCTCTGCTCGTCTCGCTGGCCCATTCGCTCTCAAGCCGACAGGCTGACATCAGTGTGCGTGTGTTAGTGTGCATGCTTGCATGCATTTATGGCCTGTGTGTGTGTGTGTGTGTGTGTGTGTGTGTGTGTGTGTGTGTGTGTTCTGCTGGCAGTCCAAATGTATTGATCTCCCCTGGATTACTTACAGTATGACCAACCTCACGCCTGGTTGGCTATTACCTGTTAGCTGTCGGTCACTGGATTAGGGATGAAACGATTACCGGTTTAACGATAAACCATAGTTAAATTCCTGGCGGTTATTATTACGGTACACATTTTAATTACCACGATAACCAGGTTTAGCTACTATAAACTCACAGAAAATACTGTCCAGCATCAACCAAAGTTAGCGACAGCAGCAAATCTTGTTCAATTTTTAAAACCAGCAGCTATCAAATTAGTTGTTAAAGTGTCAGACCTGGAGAAATGCTCTGTATTTAGTCAGTTGTTGGGCTCACTGTCTTCTAAAGACTCTTTTCTATTCATTTAATTGTGTGTAGCGTCATTGCATTACTTGCATAATATAAAATATAAAATCTCGATAATGCACACTTGGTTTTCATATGTTTACAAAAGTTAAAATGTTTAAAAAATGTAAATGTTTATGCAAACAAAATGGCAATGTTATTTGTAGTTTTCAAAATAAAACTTGTTGAAATGGTTTCAGTGTGTGTATCAGGACATTTTAATCTTTTGGCACATTTGGCACATTTTTACAATACCGTGATAATTTTGGTCTCTATGATCCATCCATCATCCACCGCTTATCCTGCTGACAGGGTTGCAGGGGGCTGGAGCCAATCCCAGCTGACATCGGGCGAAAGGCGGGGTACACCGTGGACAGGTCGCCAGTCATGATGGAATTTTCATACCGTTGCATCCCTACATTGGATCCTACACTTCCTGTAATGCAGCTCAGCCGCATCGCTAAATTGCCACATCTTTAAAGCTCCCGCCCCCAGTTTGTTCCAGACCACGGTTTCCTGCAGGAAATTTTTAGTGGAGTTTGTAAGCACGGTCACCTGCTGAGTCAGACAGATGCTGATGCATCTGGTGTTGTGATCAGTTCAGTAAAATGACGACATAAACAGTTGCCTCACTCATTATATATTCTCCGTGATTTAACGCCTCTGCTCTTTTCCTGTGTAGGCTAACACTGCTGTTGGTGTCACGTCTTCTGATATTGAGTGAAGATAATTTTAGGCGAGGCGGTGCTACAACACACTGCAAAAAACACTGTAAACTTTCCAGTAAATATGTGTAGGCTTGTGGTTATTGCTTCTGCAGAGCCACAGACGACGTTTATAGAAGTGTTTTTACATTTGTTTTCATTAGTGCTCCCCTTAGTTGTAAAACCTATTTTGATGTGTAAAAGTTGAGTGCTCCTTTTAAAAATATGTTGGTGTCTTTTATGATATCTGGTTCAGAATGTCAAAGTACCAAAAAAACATTCTCAGTTGAGCCCCTTTAAGACTTGCACTCACGTGAATGTGACCGCAATGTAACATGCTGTACTCATGTCTGAAGACGTGCCTTCACTTTCAACACGGTGCACGGTCTGACATGAAGGCCGTCAAGTTTAACGTAAAGGCTGCAGCAGCACAGGAAAAACATGCAGACAGACAGATGCGTGTCTTGTTTTGCCACCTCTGTAATACTTATATCTTTATCTTCATCTCTTATTTAGAGTCGAATCAGAGATTTTGAGGTGATTCTTCTCATTTCAGATAAGTCTATAAAAACAATTTCCCCCTTGTCGTGTGAACAAGTCATAATATTTTTAAATACCACACAGTAATAATCTGACCAGCAGGCTTTTCCTATATTATAGTCATTTTCATTTATGCCAACAGCATGGATATATCCAGCAATCCACTCCATCAAACAGGTAGCATAATTTACTCTCTGGTAATATTAAATGATGAAGTTGTTGCAGGAATGAATTCACTATATATACTGAGATATTCAATGGATTCACCGTAGATCATTGAGACGTCAAAAAATAAGTTTAAAACTCCATCAGTGGTGCAGCCTGCCAGAGAACAGAAAACTTTCTTTCTATTGTAATATTTTTCAGTCACCACTGCTTGCGCTCTCTCTCGCATCAGCTGTTTCCGTGCTTCATATTGTTTTGAGCGACAATAACATGTTTAAGATGCATTCATACAACAAATACAAGAAGTGGTGTACTATATTTATAACCACCTGTTAAAGATATTATAATCTCTATAGCTGTGTGTGTGTTGAGGGAGAGCTACAGTTTTGCATTAAAGAGGTGGTATTATGCTCATTTTCAGGTTCAAAATCCTATTTAGGGGTTCTACCAGAACAGGTTTTACATGGTTTCATTTTCAAAAAACACCATATTTTTTATCATACTGCACATTGCTGCAGCTCCTCTTTTCACCCTGTGTTGAACACTTCACTTTAGCTATGGAGTGATACATCTCGTCTCTAAATGATCTTTGTTGGGAGTTGCACATGTGCAGTTAATAGTTAAGAACTACTAGCCAATCAGAAGCAGAGAAGAGCGGGTCAGTAAGAAGCTGGTAAACCGCTTCGTTTCAGCTGTATATGTTGCCGAGAAGAAGACGTCACAGGGATGAAAGGGAAACGGCTGGACTACAAACAAGTTGTTTTCAGGCTTTTCAGAGCAGAGTTTTCTGTGGGAGATGGCTGGACTTTGGGCATTTTCACTTTGCAAACCTATTACAAGCACAAAAAAGGTAAATAGCTCAATAAAGGAGAGGGGAAAAAGCCAAAAAAAAGCATAATACCACCTCTTTTAAAATAGTTTTTTCTTGGACTTGCCACTCCGTCAAATCTGAACACAGACATGATACACATTTTTTTTTTTGAGTGTGTAACTTGAATGTCTGGAGGTGAGAAGGCGGGCTGTGGCTGCTGTTAGCAAGTATAGACGTGTGTGTGTGTGTGTGTGTGTGTTTGTACGCAGTGTGCACACCATCTGCCAGTGGTCATGGAGGTTTGTGCTGATGTGTAGTGACAAGCAGCTCAGAGAGCGACCCCTCCATATATACTATATACACACGCATAAATATGCACACACAGGGCCATCATTACAAATACAGCAGCTCTTGATGACGGGGCCTTGACCTTTGTGGGGTTATTATGTCTCCTGTCAAGATAGATCACCAAAGAATTAAAAAAGCAGAAGGCGGACAGGAAGGGCACAAATCCCACTGTAACGGCATATGTTATCCAACAAAACAAGAAAACACTGCTGCAGCTACACTGCAGTTTTTCTCTCCACATGTCTCTTTACTTTAAATATAAAGCTACCGCCAGCATCCGGTTAGCTTAGCTTAGCACAAAGAATGGAAACGGCTACATACAGCATATATTGTTTATCTCGTACAAAAGAGAAAGTGTAAAAACAACACAGTGCGGTGTGATGTGTCGGACTATGTCTTGGCAAGGCTCAGTAACTTGTCATCAGTGTGAGGCTGCCAGGAAACCAGTGTAGATCGAAGAAAATCCAAGAAAGCATATTTGCCAAAATGTCACCTAATAAAATACATTCACAATATATATTTATCAAACTGGAATCGCATAAAAATAAGTGTTAATAAATAACAAATGTAAAATAAAGCACATTATAGATGCCTAGTATATGCCAATACAAATATATCTGTGAAATGCCAAAATTGGGAAATAGTAGGTTGTGCTGTTAATACACTGTTAATAGAAGTTCATACAATCTTCATTATTCATTGTTATGCTGCAGAGGGAGGATGCTGCAATGTATTAAAGGTCATTTTTTTAAAAACTGTGTAAACTTGGATTCTAGCCACATGCGACCGGTTTTGCAATCTACGGACACAAGGAAAGCAGTCAGACGTGGCCTCAGTAATAAGGGGCTTTGGTTTGTTCTAAGTGGAGCAGCTTCAGATTGAATTATTGTTATTTATTCCCGCTGATGAGCAGACAGGGTGCCCTCAGCCGCTGTTTCCATCATTTACAAACCAATCACTTCAGCCCCTCCAGCCAGACATGTTCGTGATGAAGTGGTAAAATTAAGGTATTGATCAATTATAATAGGCCACACGAGTGAAGCTGTTATTAGGATTTATTTCATAAATGCTTCTATGTATTAAACCAGGTAGCTTGTTGGTTGAACTCACTTTTCACTTCTGCTGTCGAGGATCAAATACAGCCACATTTTGAAATAATGAAATTCTCTTTTTGCAAAATAATTTTCTTCTCATTTTGTTTTATTTTATAGTAGCTTGTGAGTGTTTTAGTGCTAGGCTGCTCTATAGTTTCCACATCCCCTAGCAGTAGGGAATCTACTGCTTGCCTACTCATTGACATTCTTTTCTCATGAAGCAGCCGGCCTTTGCTGCTTGGCTGTGCTTGCACAGGCTTGCCTTGCTGTGTTGCTGCCTTCGCTAAGGCAGTGGTGTAAACGGTACATCGTGTCGTACTGTACAGGGGCCTTTTGTGTTCCTTGTAGATGGACTGGGGGTGCTTTCTTACCTCAGCACACATAAATTATTACATATAGTATGTGTACTTTATGCACTGATATAATGATGCACGATTTTGTTTTCTGTCCTAGTCGTTTTATAGTTTCGCCTCATATTTCTCTCACTCATGATTTCCTCCTCTCTGCTGTGTTGTTGCAGACCCTGGTAGGAGCGTGATGAGCGCGCGCTTCCGCTTGCCTGCTGGCAGATCCTACAATGTCCGGGCGACGGAGCTGGAGCGAGACAGGCAGCACACACAGGTTGTGTGCAACGTACTGCTGCTGGACAACACCGTCCAGGCGTTCAAAGTCAGCGTAAGTACTGCTCTTCCTGGTCTGTAGATATCTTGCATTACATTTTAATGAACTGACTTAGGAAAGGCAAGTGGTGGGATCCAATCAATTTCCTGTTTATAGTTCTCAAACCACTCCAGTGTGACTTCTCATTATCTCTTATGTCCATCACAAATAAACCATAGAACTACGATGCTCCTTATAACTCTTGCCTGAGAATTGTCACATTTTTTTTTCTTTGGTATCAAAGTAATCCAGTGACCGCTGTCTGTACATTCATGGCTACAATGCAAACATGAACTGCTAGAAGCATATTTGCCCTAGTTTTAATGGTCAGTTTACCAAAATGTAAAGAAATATAGGCAACAAAAACCCAAAACAGGCTCTTGTTGTAGCTCACAACTAACTGACTCAGTGGCAACATTAAAAGTCCTGTGTACATCCTCCAAAGTCCAGACATTAAACACAGAAATTTAAATAAAAATAACAAATAACAACAACAAAATGAACACGTTCATTTTAATGTTCAAGTCAAGGCCCATTGACATAGCAGCTGTCTCAGTCCTGTACTTGGTAATAGAATATATCAACTTGCCCAATAGTTATTAATACTTACTCATCTACATTATGTTATTCTCATGGTTGATGATTATTCTCTTTTTTTTCTCATTCTTCTTTAAAGTTAGTAAACCCGTTGATTTACTTCATCCGAGCTCCATGCAAGAATCCAAAAGAAAAGCAAGAAGTCACCAATATTGCACCATCTCCTCCCTCAGATGACCTTCCCTCCCTCAGCTTCTCCCATTACTGTAAAGTTCCCTTTAAGCCCACCTCAAATTTACTTGAGAGTTTGTGGGGGGGAGTCCTCTGGGGTTTTTTTCTACATGTTTGCAGACATTTAAAAAGCGTCCCACAATGTATTTGTTTTTGTTATATTCAGATGATGCATAAAGGTTACATTTTCTTTTCTCACACTGCCTTCAATATTCTCCCTTTCTCCCCCCTGAGGTTTGCTTTCAGTGGCTGATCAGGCACAGTCAGCCTTTATCTTGATTTACAAGCAGCACACACATTCACACCTTGAGGCACAGAAAAAAAAAAGAGAGAGAGAGAGTCTGTGTGTGACTACAGTCTGTTTTGCCCAGGTGACAGGTTGGCTTGTGACAGCAGTTACCGTCGTCTGTCACTCTGTGTGATAATACATTTCCTTTTCTCTCTCTCTCTCTCTTTGTGTCTCTCTGTCTGTCACCATGCGTTTGATCAGAGTTATGACAGTATGAGTCGGGAAATTCCCTTTGTGAGTCAGAAAATACAATTCCTCTAATAACGTCCCCTCTGACAGATCACATCCTGTTAGTGGTGAACTGTGTGTCTGTGAGTGCATGCATGTGAGCACGCCGATATATCTGGAGAAATTCACAAATAGGGACATTATGACACGTCAGATTGCTTATATATTATCAAAAATAGTTCTTTCATCCTGAGAGAGACGCAGACGAGCGAGTAGAAAAATGTTTAGATTTTTTTGCTCTGCTACTTTTTCTGCAGTTACCACCTAAAAGACTGTGGACGTACATTTTGTGTATGAACAATTTTAGAAGAATTTTTGTATTGCATTGTTAATCATTTTCTCTTCATGGTGGAACAACTTCTCCTGAAATGTGGTCATGAATTCCTATCAAAATAAAAAATAACTTAATTTGTTTAAATCTGCAGTGCGAAATATTTGTCTCCCTGTTCTGACAGCTAGTGTCTTAAAACACATTTACTGATTCGCCAGTGGGGGAAGGTCACCACAGATTTAAAAACTCCGGTATACTGTACAGAGAGATTTACCTGGCAGTGACAGACCTAATCAGCATTGTGTGAACTCATTTGGCGAGGGCTTAAATGTAATGGACTTTGATTCATATGTAAAAGTAGGGCCTAGGGCTGGACAATTAATTGAAACCGAAATTCAGAGCCTCTAACCGACGTAATTTTCCCATGTCTGTTATTTCGGTTCCTTATAAATATTTTCCCTACAGTGTGTGTTCATGTACTTTCCCCTTAAAAACATGCCATTACTACTCTGTGTGTAGTCACGTAACTGCCCTGTCCAATCCTGCTGAGCTTCCAGACTGGAGTCAGGCAGAGGTTAGCTGGCGCTAACCGCCTTCACCTTCTAGTAGTTGGCGAAACACCAGACATCCATTTTAGGGTCAGAAGTGAAGAAGTCCTTTGGATGAGGGACAAAACGTCTTCCAGTATCTTCAACCAAGTCCAGTTGCCCTTGACTTTAACCTTCGTTGGATGACATCCATTTTAGTGACGGACTGGCTGTGAAATACACTATACATTTACTGCCAGACTGACAACAAACTCGCTCGCTTTTTCCGTCACTTTGTGCCGCTCGCTCTCTCTTATTTGCTCCACCACTTACTCACTACGGACACACACTGCACTCCTTAAAATACCTAACCCCTCTGCTATATACAACATATGTTGTATATTTGTTGCATATAGAAATATAATACAAATATGTGGAATTATGTAAGGGCAATTCATAATAAATGCATTGCAACAATAATACTGTGAATTGTCCCTTTTTAGTTTATAACTTGACTACCATCAATGAGAGTGGGTGTGTGAAGGCGCTGAGCCCCACCCTCATTGAAACGGCAACATGCCCGTAAATGACACTAAGGGCGTACTCGCCCTAGGCGCTGTACCGTGTCCGAGCACATTTAACCCCCAAACTCCAGTTCGTTTGACCAGTGTGATCACTTAGTGCCACTTGAAGAGGTGGGCTCAGACAGTCATGTTTGGGCACGGTAAAAGGCAACCGGGCCTATAGTGAGTACGCCATAAAAAGATAGCAGCGTATTTTTTTTTCTGTTCATTTGGCTTCAGTGCTGTGAAAAAACGCTTGTAACGCTGGGGAAAACCACGACTCTGTCTGTGTTTACCGCATCGCTGAAATCAAAAGGCCCTATAAAAGTTTAGCTTTAAATAATGACACCTGTCTGTGCATAAACATCATTTTAGTTTTCAGATTTTGTTTCTAAAGCATTTAAATAATATAATTTTTACATGAGTAGCAAAATTATTCGGCTTATCATAATTAGCCAGAATTTTGGATTGGTATTTAACACAGCCTCTTTTATAAAATCTCTCCTCTCCATGTTCTTTCTTTACATTTCTCCCTGCACATACCCCCACCCCCCCTTACCTCCTCCCTGCCTCTTGCTGAATGAATGAGTCGGCCTCTGTCAGTCTCTCTGTCAGTGTCATTGATCAGACCCCTACAGCAGCAGTTACTTCCTGGAAAGACAAGCCATCCTCGGAGCAACAATACTTCTATTGATCCTCTCCCTGGCCGACTGGCCTTGATTCTAGCGGAGGGTGAAGCAGTCACTTATTGTCATGGGAACCGGAGAACTGGTGGTGCGGGGGGGTTGAGGGTGCACATGAGGGCTTGTATTGCTGATTTTCTAGATGGGAAGGCTGAAACGATACAAGCATAAAGCAGAATCTGGTGTAGTTTAAAAGCTTGATCGATGACAAGAAATAAAAAAAAAAAAATGCCGAGCCGACTAACTGACCCCCACCTCTCTACAAATACAAAAGCAGGGACAGAAGCAGGATTTATGCAGAGTAAAGTGACATGCAGCTGTACCCATAGTAACCTCTACACACCACATAAACATTCAGCTGTCTGCAAGAGCTATTGGTAATCAAGTAGCTCTTAATAATGAGCAAGTAAGAGCAGCAAGACGTTGGATGAACAATCACATAGCTGTAATTTACTGCTGAGTGAAACCTCTGAAGAAATGATGATTAAAGCCGTAGATCCCCCATCCCCAAAATGACGGCATTGATTGCATTAGTGTTTAATGGAGACGATGTTCTTTCCCTAACTTTACCCGGGTGCTTTGAGTGGCCTTAAAGGTCCAGTGTGTAATATTTAGGAGGAACGTTTGACAGAAATGCAATATAATATACATAAGAATACTGAACAAAACTATAAATGCAACACTTTTGTTTTTGCCTCCATTCATCATGAGCTGAACTCAAAGATCTAAGACTTTCTTTATGTACACAAAAGGCCTATTTCTCTCAAATATTGTTCACAAATCTGTCAAAATCTGTGTTAGTGAGCACTTCTCCTTTACCGAGATAATCCATCCACATCACAGGTGTGGCAAGGCAAGTTTATTTGTATAGCACATTTCAACAACAAGGTAATTCAGAGTGCTTTACATCAAACATAAAAGCAACAGGGAAATATAAAAAAGTTTAAAAGCAACATAGGGAAATTGGGGAAAAAAACAAACACATTAAAACAGGACAGTAAACGTTACAGTGCAGTGTACAATCAGGGTTAAAAGAGTTAAATGGAAAATAAAAACAGGCTGAGGGGTTGAGCAAATAATTGAGTTACAATTATTTTGAAAAGAGAATAAACACAAAGTACACTTAATCTACTCTCTCTAGCTAGTCTGTACTCGGACCACAGCAATCTTTGGGTCCACTGAAACCCCATAAACCCTCGGACACTACAGAGAAGCCAAGATATGTCTGTCCGCAGGCCGCTTTGATCCAGTTAGACTCTGGACCCACCTGCGCGTTTACATGTGGACCGAGGTTCCTTCAAATCACTCAGGCCCGAGATTTAAGACCACTTCCTTCACTCTGTTCAATCTCACTCTCATTATCCACAGGTGTGGCATATCAAGATGCTTATCAGACAGCATGGGTATTGCACAGGTGTGCCTTCGGCTGGCCACAATAAAAAGGCCACTCCAAAATGTGCAGTTCCATCACACAGCACAACGCCACAGATGTCACAAGTTTTGAGGGAGCGTGCAATTGCCATGCTGACTGCAGGAATGTCCACCAGAGTTGTTGCCCGTGAACTAAATGTTCATTTCTCTACCATAAGCCGTCTCCAAAGGTGTTTCAGAGAATTTGGCGGTACATCAAACCGGCCTCACAACCGCAGACCACTTGTAGCATCTTCACCTCCAAGGTCGTCTGAG